CCCCACGCACGTGTGGCCGGTGCGGGGGGTTCGCGAGGCACCGCCGCCGCCCGCGAGCTGATTTAGGGGTTACTGAGGCGTGCATTCGCTTCACCGATTCCTACTCGCCTTGGCTGTCTTTGATGAGATCGTTAAGACACGAATTATTTCATGGCGAAGTCAGAATTTGCCGGCTTAAAATCAGATGGTCATTGACAGGCCTTTAAAGAAAAGGAGCAGCTTCGAAGGTTTACGAGTGCCAAAATTCATGAGACTTGGAGCTGACGCTGTGACGTGTTTGCAGCTGCTGTCACTAGTGACACAGAAGTTCCTGGTGTGCATTAGTGACAAATGCAGTGGCCAGCGAAACTCCCATGGTGGGTGGAAGCATCTCTTTAACTGAAAAACTCTATCAGTAGGAAAACCTAATGAGGCTTCTTGGTGGGTAGGAGCTGTAAAAGTCTGAACTGAAGGTACAAAGATCTGAGTGGAAAGGCTAGGGGAGGAGGAGAAAGAAGAGAGTAATGTAACTCCCACTGCATCAGTAAACAGTGTCCATCATCCACAAACATTAAAATCAGGTGTTCCTGCAGGTTGGAACCCCTTAGTAACAGTCCAGGCTGCTGGTGTGGTCACTGAAATAGTGATGCCTTGACCTGAGCCAGTGCCACTGGGTCTTCCTCAGCCCGGGGAGGGAGTGCTGCTGTCCCTGATGCTCACCAGTGACTGTCTTATTCAAGATTTACATGTGGCAGGTGACTTGATGTTTGATCACGATCCTTCTCTAAGGGTAAATTCTTCATCCATCTGGAGGTGTCTGGAGGCAAGGAAAGACTAGGAAGTACTTATTGGAAGGGCAGTTAGTGTCTTGGTGCCAAGGGGCACTATTCCTTCTCTTGTCTGGGGTCAGTGGGGCTCCCCAGCTTGCAAGATTTGTGCTGCTCAGTAACTCCTCAGCCACACCAGTTTCTGGCACCAAATGAACAAATTTGTTGGAGCTTTGTATCCACTCTGTCTAGTTCTGTTGCTTGATAAACCCACCCAGCTGGTCTGGAAGCTATCCAAAACATGGAAGCAAACTGAAGACGGAGAAAGATCTACTTTGTGTGGAATTTGCTTTAGAAATAAATTGGAACTTCAGGTTCCATAAAGTTTGGGGTTTTCCCCCTCCATTTACCACATAAAAGTTGCTGAGTTTGGTTTTCTGAGCAGTTGTGTGTCATGGTTTGGGCTGTCTCACATCTTATTTAATCATGGCTGAAGTTCCTGTAATTAAAACCTATGTCTAATTCAGATACAAGGTAGAAATCATTGGAAGTCTACAGTTTTTGTTTCCGTGTGTTTAGAGATGTGCATTCTGCAGGAAATGGCTCGTATCTAGCAAGTCAGCTCCTCCACTGCTTGGGTGAATGGCCTGTGCCTGACTGTGAGCCAGCAACTGTGGCTGCACTGGAGTCAGGCAAACCTCATGTTAGTGTTTCCTCTGGTGTTTCTGAGAATTGTTTTTTGAAGCATTCAAAAAGACTTGGTGTTATAATACCTTGGGCTTGATTTCTAGGAATTTTTGCTTAGAGCTCTGGGGGAGGAGTCTTCCCTCTCCACTGGCTTCCCCAGCACATTTACTGGTATGGCGTGTTCTCCTCAGGTGGGTCTGTAGCTATCTGTCAGTGAGAGCTGGGCTTTGGCACCTGGATTCACCAAGTGCAAGGTGTTCCTCAGGTGAGCTGGCCAGTTGGCTGCCTCTTGATAGACCTGGAGTCTCCTCACCCTGAAATACAGGGAGTGGTTTTCACTGTGCCTGTCCCCTAAGGCCTGGTGAAGGCTGGTTGCTGTGGCATGCTGAATGCTGCTCAGCACAGAAGTTATGCACTCTCTGTGAGGGCTGGAGCTCCCAGGGACTTGTGTAACCTGTCTGGGGCCAGGAACAGGGTGGTGTCTCAATAGCCAGACTTGTTAAAGTGGTTTGTAGGCAATGAGCCCTGGGTGGCCCAGGTGACATCCAGAGGTCCCTTCCAAGGTCAGCAAATCTGTGAGCTCAGCACAGTGTTTTCTAGAGGATAAACTGGCATCTCTGGGAAAGAGTGAAGATGGCTGAATGAAATGGAATGTGAAGGTGGGAGGCTAGACTTGCGTCGTCTGCACTTCTAGAACCATAGTATTCAGCTATGATTAAATGCTTAAAATACTTAACTCCCCTAAGTTAGTAAGCAGTTGAGACCCTGGATATTGTCACAGCACAGTGAGCTGACTCTTTGGGCTTGAATTTAAGCTTCAAATTCTCAAAATTTTTCTTCCAGCCAAGTGTGTTAAGGAAAAAGGAAAGAAGTAAACAAGCATTTGTGTGGACTTAAACATGTTTTTGCAAAATTTAATGTCTTCATACTTTCAGAAGCATTTTATGGTAATGCAGATCTATTTGACTCTTTATAGAGAAGAATCTTACTCATGTACCAAAAATACAAAACACTTCTATCAAAATAAAATTGAGAACTTCGATTTGGAAGCTAGATCTGACACACCATGTGAAATGTAAACACAGAACAGGTCTCTGCCCCAAAGAAGTTTACATTTTATTAACTTAATTGAGAAGTTCAGAAGTTTGCCACCACTCCTGAATGTTTATGCTATGCAGGTACTCCCCAAGCATGTACTTTATGTGCATGCTGTGTTGGGGCTTCCATCACACTCTGTGTGGGTCTTCAATTTGGACAGTGGCTTAATCCTTTAGTCTGATGCTGGTCACACAAGCACTCCTGTGGGAAAATACCCAGTGATTATCAAGGCATTTGTTGATCTGGGAAGGTTTGTCTGAATCAGGGCAATCCATGATGTGATGTAGTGTTGCATGCTCTGATATGATCGAACATTTGAATGCTTTGAGGATTTCCCTCCTTGAGATAATTTATTGGGTTAAAGTAGTCAGAATATGAGGTAACTTCAGAGGCTGCTTCTTATTTATTTTAAATTTAATATAAATATAAAAATTACTTTATTTAATATTATAATATTTATAATAATATTTTAAATATAATATAAAAGAAACATTCTTATTTATTTTAAATATGTCAAAGCTAGCAGAAACCCTGTATTTCAAATGAGTTAATTATTTTCTCTGAAGGGGACTCTGAGTATGTGTGCTGTTCTATTGTTTATCAGATATTAATGGTGTTTCTTGTTATGCTTGTTAATTTTGGCAGGTCTTTCTCCTCTACAAAGAAGCTTTTTTGCCAAGATTTACTCTGAAAGTGACCTACAGTACTGACTGCAGATGTCTGCAAATGTAGAAGCTGATAAATCACATCTTCTTCCCTCCCCTGACTTTCCTGTTTCCTGTGGAATTTATACTTCTAAATTTTTTTAAAGTTAGATGTCTGTTGATGACATTTGGATTACAACTGTGACCATATCTATGCAAAGAGATGAGCTACCCTGAGTAATTTTGAGGTATGTATGCCTGCTATGACTTAGAACACATGGAAAGGAAAGGCCATCTGGTTAGGGCAAATAAAGCTCTAGGTGTACATATTCTAGATTTAGGCTGATGTGCACCATTTTCCATGGTTTTAGCAGTAGAGTATACATGTACACAGTGAGGCTGTAGGAGCACCAGAATACGCAGCTGGCATTGTATGGAGGGTGACCTTGGTTGAACATCCTGTGGGAGTACTCAAAAGATTTGTCTTGAGAAAAGCTGCATTCACTGCTCACCCATTAAGTTCCTAAATACCACCATGGTATGCAGAAATTTTCTTTGAGGTATGTGACAGACATGTAGTAGTCACTGAAATGCGCCTGGGAGACTGTGGTGGTTGCTCTATTTGCTTAGATAATGCACTCACATGAAGTTACAAAGTACTAGCCTTGAATTGGGAGACATCTGCAATGAAGGTTAGGAAAGAAGGATATTTTGCTTGCCTTCCTGTGCACAGGTGCTGGCACAATGGTCTCTGTTCCCAGAAAGGAGCAGTCTTGTTACACAATATGCCTGTGATGTACAAGAGTAGCAGAGCTGGGTGGGATTTGCCTTGTTGCTGTGTGGGTTTGTCCCTCCTAGGTAACAGGAGATGGACAACCCTGGCTATTTCTGCGGCATAGAAAGACACCAGCATGCACAGTTGTATTTTCCTGGAGGCTTTTAGTTTTCCATACATATTCCTGGAATAAACCTGGAATGGGGAAGCTGGCTAACTGCCTCTGTATGGGCTTAGAGGAGGCCAGTGTTCACTGATAACATCTGTTCCTTCTGTAAAGTACTTGGATGCAGTTATCCCTTCTGTGATGTAGATGCCAATGTTCCAGGGCAGTGGTGGTCTTGTCAGTTAATGATGGGTTACAGTGAAAGTTACACCCAAACACACACCTCTCTGGCTTCCAGAAGAGACATTCATTAGTGGGTTTTGTTTAAAAAGGAAAAGTAATTCTGCTGAAATTCAGCTACCTGACTGAATTGTTCATCATGCCACATTGCTGCTGTACAGGATGTATTTAGCAGACAGCACACGTGCTTTTGTTGATAAGCTCCATTGATTCAGGCTGAGATGATACTGGAGGGACACAGATCTGACCTACCTCCCTGTCTGGCTTAAAACAGCCTGATGGTGTTCCTGTAACGGGAAGGCATGCCATGTTGCATGCATGCATGGGCCATGTTGCAGTGCTAGTGTGAACTGTGATGGGTAGCAAAGTGCTGTGTTTGGGAAGGGGATCCCTTACATGCGCTGAAGGAATTCCTCCATCATTTGCCTGCAAGCAGAGCTGGGGCTAGGGATTGGCATCTTGGTGAGATTCTCTATTACAAGTGGGTATAAGCTGGTGCAGCATACTTTAAATGTGTTTCTCAGTCTGCCTGGGCAGTGTTATTTGGCTGTGGCAATGTGCAAAAGTAGCATTGGGCACATAAGGAGGAGCATTATTTCCTGTAAGCTGCTTTCATGGAAACTGTAGGAACACACCAGGAGTGGTTTGCTGAACTGCCTATTGCCACCTTAGTGGTGCTTTATGCAGTGTACCAGGGATGTGGATTCTGTAACCCAACTTGGTGCATTTTTTTTTGTTGCATATAAGTAAGTTATGATCTCTGTAATCTTATGAATTAATAATACACATATCCAAAAAAAGCTGCCATTCTGTGAAAATAGAACAATTCCTGCAGTATCTCTGAATACCTGTAAGAATACATAGATTTCATGTCTCCCTGAGTGCATATCCCTAACCACATTATTATTCTTTGTTTCCTTAACTGTAAGATGTAGGTAAGACCTACCTTTGTAAAACATTCAGTTTCATGAAAAACCTAAGTGTTGCAGTTTAATCATTAAAACTCATGTAATTAAAAGTGTATACTAAAGTGTGGAGTGATAAGGCGATTGAGTATAAGATAAAGTTTTCTTTTGATGTAAAGAAGTGGTCTGAAAGGTGAAATTGTGTATATTAGAGAACATTGCATTAAAACTGCTCTACAGGGTGTCTAAAAAGTTCAAGGAGCATTAAAGGATGCTGCAGTGTTGATGAATGGTACTGCCTTTAATTCAGCTGGTGGGATGGGTTATGATAGGAAGTTTGCAGATACCTACTTAGTTTCTTCAGGCATAAATTTAGCAAATTTCAGTATATTTTGGATTTGTGTGAGCTGACGGTGTCCTTAACAAATCCCATAGTGGCCTTTGTACTGAAGCTGTTGGCTATTACTTTCCTGGAAGCCAGTTGCTGTGGTGATTATCCTGAGGGCAAATAAATGTGTTTTTCATGATTCCCAGTTATACTAGTTTTGAGCAAAAGGACTGTGGCCTTTTCTGGGATCACTGGAAGTGCTGCACCCATAGCACTTCATGTTTGTAAATCACTGCCCACTGAACAAGCCTCTCACGTTTTAGTGGATCAGGGTCATAAGGGGTCGGTGTCACTTGTCTGTGAGAAGCAGTGAGTGTCCTTGCTGTGATCCTGAGGTTGAATAGCAGTTAGAATGGAGAAATGAGCAAAGAGTGACTTTGGGTCAGAATCTGTTAAGACTGAACTTAGCCCATTCAGGTGGCTGCCTGACTAGTAAGGCAAAAGCTCTGTTGGTGAAAGCTAGTCCCTCCAAGGTGCGTGGGGCTGTGGTCCTTCCCTGTGCTGGTTTTCAGCTGGGGTAGCCTCTAGCTCTGGTTGCTACGGATTAATATTCAGTGTTTTGTGGAGGAAGATACTCTGTATATGTGAGCCTTTGCATAACAGACTAACTTGGTTAAGTTTGACTGCTTGGGCTGCAGAGCACCTGCAGAGAAGAGCAGAGGGGGAGGTGTATGAGTGGCTGCTTGCTGCTCTGCAGAGCGAGCGATTCCTGTGCTGGTCATGCTTTTCCTGCGGGAATTAGTTCTCAGCTGGTTTGTTGTGCTGAAAGGTTTGGTTCTGGTTTACCCAAGTCCTTTAAATGCTTCAGGTGCAATTCTAGTCTGTGGGAGAAGTACTGGGTCCAATTCTATACAGTCTCTTGATTAATAACATATTAATAGGGCCAGGTGAAGAATTTTGTAGGTGATGCAAGATGGGAAGTTGATAGACCTGATGAATCTGTTGCCATTTAGAGGCATCTGGGTAGGCTTGAGGAGTAGGCAGGCAGGAACCTCACAAGGTTCAACAAAGGGAAACAGGAAGCTCTGCACTTGGGGAGGACCCACCCTGTGTGGCTGGTGTTTTAAAACTGCCCATGTATCTGTACTGGGGGCCTGACCAGCTGCAAAGCTGCTCTGCAGCAAGCAAACAGGTGTTCTGGCAGAAACCCAAGTTGCACAACGGCTCTGTAAGGAGCCATTAATTTGGGTCTTGGTTTTGGCTCTGATCATAAGCCTGCACCTTCTCAGTGGTAACTGAAATTCAGCCTTATTTCAAATAAGACTGCTCCCTTTTTGTGCTGCTTTGGGTAAAGATTTGTGGATTTTTTTTATGTGGACTCTGCCATGAATGTAGGAGGAAACATTCTGATTTTGGCTGAGGTTTTAAATCCAAGACTACTTGATTCCCATTGGCAACAAAGTAGTCAAGCCCAATTTCTTTATACCAAATTACTGTCTCTGTGCAGCTGGATGTGGAGGTGGATATTGAAGAGCAGCATATTTGTGAGTGGATGCTTTGCTGTGCTGTGTTTGTGCAGTTTGTGAGTGTCTCTAAAATGCATTATAAAATCTAATAGAAGAAAAGGACTGTAGATGTGCATCAGTATTTTTATTGCAGAGGTCCAAAAAGTGAGCAAAGCAAGGAATTCACAAGTCTCTGTGGTAGAAAATGGATGGCTAACAGAGGTCCTGTTCCAAGTGGTGTTGCTCTGAGGGGATAGAGTGTTGTGGCTGTGCTGGGCTGGTTCCTTGGCACCTGAAAAGAGGCCTGGCAGCTTGTCTGTGTGCTGCAGGGCAGGTGTCCATGGCTCTGCTCACACGGTGTCTGTGAGATACACAGGCCAGGCTGATGATGTTCCTACCCGTTAGGGTACATAGGATTGCAGTTATAGTGTTCCTTGTCTCAAGCTCTGCTTGAACCTGCCTGGGACTGGGAGAAGTGGGTGTAATGAGTCGAGTCAAAACACTTTATGCACATCTGTTGACCGCTGATAACAGATTTTTGACACTGAGAGCAGGTAAGGAGGTGCGGATGGGGTAGTCTTACTGATAGGTCCTCCCAGCCTCCTGCAAGGGCTGACTGAAGGGCTTCAAGCAGTGTTTGATAGGCAACCCAAACATCTTGTTTGTAGTCCTGCAGGGAGTAATGTGCTAATGCTCGATTAGAAAAGGCTATGGAAACAAACCAACCCCAGATTAAGGCCACTCCATTATAATAATACAGTTTTTTAAGAGTCTCACTTAAGTGAAAGCTCCCCTAGGCTAGCAGTCTTGAAGAAGGATCAGGAGGGAGAGTTTTCTTCTGAAGAGCAGGATGAAGCTGTCAGTAGTTGAACAGCATAAATGGTTGGAGCATTAACAGTGACTATTGACTTCTGTTTGGAATTTGTCTTGCCAGATTTGTGTCACGTTTTAAACAATACCGAGAAAAAAAGAGCTGGTTTTGAGTCATCAGGGGGAGTATTTTACCAATCTGTGCTAGGTTAGTTCTACTTTCTTCTTTTACTGTAAAGTCATTGTAAATATGATACTTTCCAAAATTCAGGGCTAAGAGTACATGTTAAAATCACACATAGTGTGGGGTGTGGGTTGGTGGTAGATGATATCTTTCTTTACAAGCCTGCTAATTTAACTTGTTTTAACCTCCTTACAACTGCAAGCCTGGAATAAAAACCTTTGTTTTAGAACCAGTTGCTAAATCCTGCCAGCTTCTCTGCTGGCATCATCACAGATAATTCTGCTAGGAGTGAAAATGAGAGGCCATCTCTTATTTTCTTTGTATTGCTAGCATCTTGGAAGTCTCTCTTTAATGCCAGAAATAGCTGTAGTATAACCTTTTGTCTTCCCTTGGAA